CAAGTATTGAGTTTGACCTAACATAAGATTATTGGATCAACAATTCTTGCCAAACTTCTTCGACATCCCCATTTTATCAAGATCCCACTTGAAAACTATGTTGAGACGGTATTGGACTCCTTTCTCCTCAAGAACTTTGATCAAAGAAGCTGCAGAAGAGATGTCACGATGCTTAACACATCCGTCGAAGATGGACGTGATCATGAACTCGTCAATCTTATCGCTTGAAAAGTCTTTGAGTGTTCTTATCGCTTCTTTAAACATGCCACCAGCTGTGAACAATTGGATGATCCCTCTCATCACTCTCGGGAAGAGAGGGATCTTGTAGTGTAAGGAAAGCCGCATTACCTCCTTTACAGCCAATGCAATCTTCTACGTATCACCGACGCAATGGAGTTGCAATGCTAAGAGAAATCCGCTGACACTATCCACTCGAGGAGCGCCAAGCCTGATTATCAAACCAAAAGCAGTACGGGCGTCTAGCGGAGACACATAGGCGAAGGCATGGACCATGGTAGCGAGTGATTTTCGTGCGAATCAAGTTCAGAACCTTGATCACACTATCTCTATTATCCGCATCATCTAGCTGTCTACCATAAAGGGTGATAAGATTTCGGTGGTTTTGCCTTTCAATACCGAGTTTTATCGCGAGGCAGTGGATGGACGATCCTGTAGATGCAAAGGCGTGCTCAAAATGTTCCTCGAAAAGTTCTGAGACAAATCGAAGCAGCAAATCCCGATCCGATGGAGTATGAACCTGCAAACCAAAGACATTTACAATTATTAGTGAGGAGAACAATGGATTTTGTGCCGGTGAAACGACCATGTCTAAACTTAAATTGCTGCTTATTAGTGACAAACTTAGAGCAAGAATGTAACCTGTCGCACTGGTAAATTGCTATTCTCCAAGGGAGGAGTAGCATTAGATTCACCACTGCCATCGTTGAAGATTATAAAAGTGGAAAACGAGACCTGAGAAGTATATAGAGGGATTTTTCTCCATAAGACAGCATTGCCCGCTTGAGAATGCAAATACGTGATCCCACTGAGTACTCCTATTGCCTCATGCGTTGTAATCCAATGAAAATAACAATACTAAGATCCACAGCAAGAGTTATAAAAAAAACGAAAAGAAATCTGGAGAAAATAACAACATTGCTCGCTGTCTGTTGAAATATTTGAGTATTAAGAAAACAAGTCTGGTTTGCTACTTGGAACAGAATAGATCACATGGTTTTGGTTGAATGATTCGATTTTAGTTTATATGGATAAATACCTTTTTCTTTCCGCCATTGTCGCTGGGTTTCGATGCTTCTTCTGTGATCTCCAATTGGATCATTCGAGTATACTCAGATGGAACACTAGTTTGGATGCTTAGTTTAGCAATCTGAGAAAGAAAAGGCAAAAGCAAAATGAAGAAGCAAATCTTGAAAAAGAAAATTGAGGAAGTGAATTGTAATTTACAATTTGTAACAAACCTTTTCTATTAGTTGTTTATCTTCAGAGCATCATGCTTCAGTAGTAAGCAAGCCAATTACAAATACCTGAAACATTTTACGGAAATGACACTTTAAATAAAACTCAGATATCTTTAAAGAAAACTCTTTGCGAATGATTATGAGAAGGAATGTGATCTTACTTTATCAAGAGGCATGTCTTTTTGTGATTTAATTTGTAAAAACTCTTTGTAGTATATTTGTAAAATTTAGTGATTTAATTTTTGATTGATGCACTTAGTCACTTACTATTGTTATTTTTAATGAAGTATTAGCACTATGCATATGCATTGATATTTTTGTGAAGTAATTAACAACTAATTGTATATCATATTTTTTTTATTCCTTTAATATATAATAATTTTATGAAAATATTGTAGTTTAATTGTGTTAGGAGAGAAAGTAGAATAGTTTTTTTTTTTTTTGAGAAAAGAAAGTAGAGTAGTTAATTAAAGGAAAAATTTGCTAAAAATAAAACAAAAATTATAATTTAAAAAGTAACAAAAAATTCTAAATCCAATGATCTATATTTTGCCACATACCCCA